GTACCAGTCCAGGAGACCACTCATGGGCCTTGGGATGAACAAATATCAAATATCAAATTTAACAGCACCAGTAATGCTGCTGGAGCATCCCAACAGCACAACACCTAAAACAACTGCAAGGGCATGCGGGGGGCAACTGCGCAGTGAAGCACAGGGCAACGCCAACGAGTAGCCAAACTACACGGCGCAGAAGAGAGGGACGTGGAAAGCACTGGTTGCGGATGGGCGGCAAGGCAACACCAACAACACAGCCACTCCACACCGTGAGCACAGCAGCTTGCAAAGAACGATGTGCGAAGCAAACGAGAAAGGCAGCAAGGCAGTGGCGAAGTGCAGATGAGGCGGTCTGCACAATGTCATCCAACGCGGAGCAAAAGTGGCATATCACCTGCTCACATCACGAGTGAACTCGTCAGACAGTTGGTTCCCACCACCTGCTGAGCCAGGGAGTCTCTGAAGGACGAACAAACAACAAGAGAAAGATAGACATGCATAAAATTGATTGTGTGTGGGGGGGGGCGGGGCCTACCTTTGTTGTGTGACATCTATCTATGTTGCTGATTGAGCATGGCGAATGCGTGTTCGCGTTCGAACAGCTGCGTTCAGTCACCCCACGCGTGCAATCACTGTGTTCAAACGCACGATGTGGCAGTGCGCGGGAAAACATTGAATGGGCGCACGCTGCCCGGGCGCACACCCTGGGGCCTATGTGGGGGTGCGCACCCTGGCAGCTACGCGGGAGCGCACGGAGTTCATCACTTTCACGAGGGGTGGGGACTGGTGGGGGTTGGGGGGGGGGGGGGGGGGGGGCTAGACTGCCTAAAGCACCTACCTGTAAATTTTCGTCAGGCTTTAGATGGTGTGGCAGAGTTGGAGCCGCCCTGCAATCGAGATCTGCGACCTGGGCGCACTCGATAATTCCTTGCATTCTGGGGAAACAGAACTGCCTAAAGCACCTACCTGATACACATCTAGATGTGTATAAGAGACAGCGATAATTCCTTGCATTCTGGGGAAACAGAACTGCCTAAAGCACCTACCTGTAAATTTTCGTCAGGCTTGAGATGGTGTGGCAGAGTTGGAGCCGNATCGAGATCTGCGACCTGGGCGCACTCGATAATTCCTTGCATTCTGGGGAAACAGAACTGCCTAAAGCACCTACCTGTAAATTTTCGTCAGGCTTGAGATGGTGTGGCAGAGTTGGAGCCGCCCTGCATTCGAGATCTGCGACCTGGGCGCACTCAATAATTCCTTGCATTCTGGGGAAACAGAAAGGAAACTAAAAATCAGAGAGAGAGAGAGAGAGAGAGAGAGAGAGAGAGAGAGAGAGAGAGAGAGAGAGAGAGAGAGGTACCAGTCCAAGAGACCGCTCATGGGCCTTGAGATGAACAAGACTCAACAAGTATCAAATTTAGCAGAACTGCAAAGAACTCTTCTTAGGTTCTTAGGAAATACTCAAGATAGGACTTTTTAGACTCAGCTCTGGACGTGATTGCTGTCAGCTGCATCCAGCTTTGGCCGTAATTACGGTCAGAAGCATTTGGGAACCGTAATTACGGTTAGAAATATTGTTGGTGTCAATCACAAGATCTCTTGTTCTTTGCCATCTTCCTCGTTCTCTCTCCTCACAAACGAGCTGCATTCCGTCCTATTCTGGGAAGCGGCTTCCTCCGAATACCCATCATCGTCATGCACAGGGTCACACTGCCCCCGTGCTAGTTATGGCCAAAGGAACCTCCAAAAGCGTCGATAAACCCTTAAACATGGTTCGAGGAGAAGGGGGGGGTCACAAGATCTCTTCTTCTTTGCTGTCTTCCTCATTCTCGTTATTTTATAAAAGACTTCCGCTCCGTTCTATTCTGGGAAGCGGCAAGTTGGAGAGGTTCCATGCATACGCATCATGCACAGGGTCACCGGCCGCGCTCTAGTTACGGCACCCTCGTTACGCGCGCCAGTTATGGCCGCGCACTAGTTACGGCTAGAGGAACCTCCAAAAGCATAACCATCATGCACAGAAATTTTTCGGCAACCTCGTTTTGGTCATAGATGGGTCACAGACTTAACCACCAGTAGATTTCCCATATGTCGGCCACGGGCACTGCGCACCGGCCCGGAAATCAAGGCTGCACGCCAATTTGATTTATCGGTGGGCGCCCTTCCGTTTCAGGCCAGCGCATTACCCGGCGCGCCTCTGGAAAAATAGCTGGGAAAGGTACTGGTGACTTAAGTGGGGTTGCTATTTTCAAGAGCTCGCAATCTCCCTGGTCCCAGCACGTGCTGCTGCCCACGAATATTTTTAAGTGGGGTTAAAAAACGGGTGTTACGAGTCAAGGATAAACTTCCATATGGGACGCTGGGCCCGGTTCCCAGCACGTGCTGCTCCCCACAAATAG